GCGTTGAATTTTCGTCGATGTTAAGCCTAACAAAGACTATTGTATCGTTAAAAATTATTTTTTTATTTTGTACAAACAAAATAAATTTATTGAAAAATATAAAAACAATAAAAAATTATACTTCAGATGTTAATTTAGTATCAGAAACGTAAAATATTTGAGTAGCCCGAGAAATAGTCGAAGATTGCAGCGCTACAGTACTAGCGAAAATTTAAATTTGCCGAATGGAATGCTTTCGGATAACGGTCGTTTCGGATAACCAACTTTCGGATAAACGACGCTCTACTGTATTTTCATAAAATTTGAATACTATTTCATTAATTAACAATGAGCACTTATCATATAGTAAAAAATAGTTAATATTAATAATATAATAATAATGATATATAAATGAATTTAAAACCCCAATTTAAAGATTCTTAATCTAACAAAAAATGGAGCCCCGTTGGACTTCAATAACCCTATACCCCGAAAAACTTAAATCTGCTCCTGTGTGCAATTACTAGATATTCACGTAATGCCATTTGCAGTAAAAATCAGAGAGAAGTTTTCCAATTCCGAAAAGATAATTCACCCACTCAATGCAAAATCAACTCGAAACTGATCTTTAGCAAAAGTTGTGCATGTTATGGACTGGCCGCAATGTTTACCTAATCTTAATCCTATATAAAATACGTTTAGTATTTTAGTAAAGAAAGATACAATTCTATTCTATTGTTTTCTAATGTGCTTATTATTTCTTTCTTATAGACACTGAAATAATGACATTATCATTTTAGAACGGATTGTATATGTAACTCGGGAAGGCCGATGTGAAGAAGCCGGAATTTTGAAATTCCATCTATGGGCCGAGATATTCGAGGTTAAAATAATCCACGTAAAATCTATGGTCCGATTGGTGATTGTATGCTGTTCGCGCGCCACACATCAATCGATTGCTATCGAGTTACATTGATCTGTACAACAAATTTTCATTTCGATCTTTACGACAGGTATTTAATTAAACATCCACGACGAAATCAATTTTCGAAAACATGCACATGTGCGGCCGCTTATTTAAAACATTCATACGTAGACTGCGCGTGTGGGTGTTTTATACATTTGAAGCAAATGATATTTTATAATAACATTCAAATTTAATAAATCTAGTAAATAAAGAACGTCATCGGTGGAAAAGCCACGAGCAGACAGACAAACCGGCTCCGTCAGAACGTCTCTCTGTCGCCAGATGGCTTCATTATTCCCGGTCGCGGTTGTGTAGTTTGCTTTGATGTCTCCGATACAAGTATAAAAATGTAAATTTTTCTAATAAAAATCGCAGAATTAAAGATGAAATTGCATCTTGCTTCCATGGGTTCGTATATACTAATATTATATAGGTATATTAGTCTATAAGTTAAGAATTGCAAGTTATCGTGTAATTATAAAAAAAATAATTTTCTAATTAAAATCGTCAATTAACTGCGAGAAACTGAAGTAAATTACTGTTTTGCTTTAAATGTAAATGATTTATTCTTTCCGTCCGTGTGAAGTATCAGAATGGGATGCGGGTGATGAGATCATTTCAGTTGTCAGTAATGATATGCGTAACAGTAAACACAACCATTTAAATTCAATTTGGAAGAATTATTTTCATATAAAGAATGTTAAATATGTGCCTTATGATTAGAAGAATGGTGCAAAAATAAGTGATAATGCTATTATCAAAACAGAATAAAGCGCAAATCATTTTATTGATTTGTACAAAGTTTAAATTAATGAAAGAATGGTATTGATAATCTATTCAATATTATCAAATATTTAGTAAGAGTTTTAATAGAATGGGATGAAAATGTAAGGACTGCGGTAGGAAGTTATTGGTGAAAGTAAGTTTTGCGGTGTTTAATGAAATGGTTTATTTTCATAATTTGGGAAGCTGAGGTGCTGGCCTTTTTGGTATTTGTGCAGGGGACTGTTTTGAAATATCATAGATTGTTTTTTTTATTAAATTTAGAATCATTTGGAGGAGTATTAGTTTCCCCTTTCTGTTTTTTTACCTGCTAAACATTTTTTGATGGTTTTCCTCCTTTTTTGCAATTAACTTGGGTATTTCTATCTATAAATCTGTAATTAAGAGAAAAAAATATTCATTCAAACTTTATTTTCTGATGTAAAATAAGAAGGATGATTCCATTGTTCACAAAGATGAAGAAAGGATGGGGTGACTCAACAGCTTACCGGTTTAAAAATGCCAATTTTTCCAAAGTCAAAACAAGGAATTAGAATAATTTAAAGATGAAGGAAATATTACTGACATTAGTATTTTGAGATGCAAACTGCGTGTTACTGTAAATTTGGATGAAAAGCTTCTCTCTTTATGAGTTAAACGTATTTCTAACAGGGAAAGAAAGAAGAGTGAAAAGAAGTAATGGAGTTTTATTTTTGCATTGTTAAATTCTACAAAGGGAAAAGCAAGAAGAGTAAATTTTCACGTGAACTGGCTGTAGCTTTAATGTGGTCAGGATTGTTGTTTGATCATCCAGCATTCAAAACTTTCTAGAAAAGTACTGTATATACCAAGCACTAAGGAAAAGCTATTTGCAGCCTTCACAAGAAGCAACTTTTAAAAGATACAGGGAATAATAATACAAAATGTAATGAACTATATATGCTAAGTGCCTTCTCAAATGTAAAGTTAATGTATCCAAATCTGAGACATGTCACTTGTTTTACCCATTGCATTAATAGGATATGTGAAGCAATTAGGAGAGATTATTTTGGGCCAATGATTTCATTTTGAAAATTAAAAAGGCTTTGATTAAATGTCCTACAAATATACAACTATATAAAGAGATAACTTGCTTACTACTCCCAAAGTATCCTATAATAACCAGGTGATGTGTGGATTAGAGTGGCTTGTTTTTATGCCAAAAGTTTTGCATCCATTGGGACATTCATTGATAAACTAGATGAAAAGTCTTCCCTTGTCATAATGAAATTGTAAAGTTTGTTGAAACAAGAAATCATGTTTAAAAGAACTCTACACTGTTCATTCATGCAAGTTCCAATGCAGTTCATTTTCTAAGCTCAAGGAAAGCAGTCTGTCTGCTGAGAATCAGTGGGAGATTTTAAATTTGCCTAAAAACAAGTTGGATAGATTTGTTGTAGAGAAACTGGAATACTCCCTAAGTAAAAATCAGAATATTCAAAATATAATTTCAGAGTCTCTTCAGTTATAATATCTGGAGATTTTGGTGAAAAGTAAATGTACCCCCCTCACATCTGTTGATATTGAAAGATTGTTTATGTAGTTCAAAGATTTACTTTCCTCACACCATTTGCAGCTGACCTTGGAGAATATGGAACAACTGTGCATTTGCAAATACAATTCTTTTGTTTGTAAACTATTAAACTGATGGATCATATTCTGAACATGATTGATTTAAATATTTTATTATTTTTTTTAAGTTTTACATGTTCTATGTATATTTTTAAGCACAATAAAATGTTTATACATTTTTAGGAGAACTTTTTTCCCCAATAACCCATTACTTTTTATCATTCTTTTACAAAAAATGCACCATGATTTCTCTAGTTTAGTCAAACACTAAAAATAATTAAAAAATAATAATTCTGATAAATACCAAAAATTATTGCTAGTGCTGTGCCAATGATTGATGTATCAAACTGAAATTAAATTAATTAATGTTTACAGTATCGATATTGATATTTGCTATTTATCAAGGTTATTGATATTCTTGATTTAATACTGAAACCAATAAAATACCAACTTTTATCAATAATGTTGAATATCAGTATTTATTGTTGTAAATACTGGTAATTTGGTATAATAATTATCAATGCTTCTTTTTTCAACACAGTAATTTTTCTAGCTATCAGAAAATTTCACTATTAAAAATTCTAGAGGGTAGTTGCAGTTCTTGCAATTAGTGCTGTACCAACAACGAATGTATTAAACTAAAGTAATAAATTAATATGCCTCAATGTTCTTAATTTATTATAATCTTATTTCATCCACTAGTACGTATCTATTAACAGGATAGGTCCTGTTAATAGATACGTACTAGTGAACGAAATAAGATTATAAAGTAATAAATATTTACAATATCAATATACTAAAACCAATATATTAGTTTCAGTATATCAATATTCTAAAACCTGAAATATTGATATTACAGTCGACCCCCGTACAAGATCATTGATTATTCCGTTTTATATGAATTTAATGTTGTATGAGTCACTTAGATTTTACAAATACGTGTACCGGGCTGTGAACGGCTCACATATTTGTAAAATTTAAGTGACTTGTACAACATGGAATTCATATAAAACAGAATAATCAATGATCTTATACGGGGGTCGACTGTATAAATAAATCAGTTTCAGTTCAATATATTGGTTATCAGCATAGCATTAATTATAATTATGTAAATATCTGCTTTCTTTTATGTTCTTTGAATTATTTTGTTGCTACTGTTTATTGTAAATTGTGATCAGTTGTAAGAAGTTTGAGTTTATGAGAATAGCCAAAAGTTCTGAAGATAAGGATAAGCTCAATGCTTAGCCTAAATTAAAGTTGTCTCAGAATTAGATGTAGCATCATTAATAATAATTGTCATATATAGTTTTCAGCTGTATTTGGCTTTAAATAGCAAATTGTATCTTGATTTGCTATTTAAACATCAATCTCATGAAGAATTTCATTTGAAATTTCTCACACTTACTATGTTTTATTTCAGTATTTATTAAATAAAAATAGGCTGTTTATCAATAGAATTATAAACAGAGATGACATTTGAAAATGATCCTCAAAAGAAAGAAGAGGGTTTATTTCTTTACTTAATTTGTTATCACTAATTGTTATTGTTGATAAATGTGTACTTTAATCTGTTTTACTATTAATTCAAAAATAACTTCTAAATTAATGCATTTAAAAGTTATGGAAATTAAATAAAACAATTTTATTCTTTAATTTTTATTTTAGTGAATACTGAATATCCAGAAGAAGATCCACAACAATTTCAGAATAGTTTAACTACTATGATAACAGATAATTTACCATCCCCTCTTCTAAATGATTCTGATATGCCACAAGCAAGAGCATTTACAGATGTTTCAATTAAAAGTATTACTGTTGTTATTGGATCTATGGCAGGTATTAAACTAGTTCATAAATATTTTGTATATTATAATATTTTTATAATGTAAATTTTTAACATTTTTAAATCAATTAATTTCAAAGTTTGCTTATCAATGTATCCTTCATCAACTAAACTTTATATTTTTCTTAAATTTATAAAGTTCAAAAATTATTTGTTTAGCAATGTCATGTTCAAATTCAGAGTAACATACTGTGTTTTGTTTTTTATTAAAATTTACTTTAGAAATTCACATTACCTATCCCAAGATCAATATCAATTTTGTTAATATGTTAATAATGAGAATTTAATAAACTTAAAATTGTCTAAAAAATTAAAATTGAGAAAGATTGATTTAAAATTGATTTTAAAAAATGAACAACAAAATTGTTTATCAGCATTACAGAAACATTTATTTACGTGAGTACTTTCGAAAGTACTCGCTTACCAAATTTAAACTAGTTAAGCATTAAAATCTTTATAGGACCAAATATTTCTTTTCGATTGCACCTTATATGCCATTTTATATCTAGACTCCTATTTGTATTCTGTAAATAAAAATATTATTTTTGTTACTTTATAGCTGAATCTACAATTTTTAGCTTTAAAGTAACAAATCTACAATATATTTAGCTAAATCTGGTGATATTTTGATGATGAAAGTAGCAATATTTGTTTTTGTCTGCTTCATTTTTATGCAATAAAGAAATAATGAAGTCTAGTTGATTTATAGATCAAAATTCCTACTTTAATTATTTATCCAGCCTGCATTGGAAAGATCACAAATTATGCACTTAAAGTGAAACACTAACTTTTCTCCTCACTTTAAAAGTCATAGATAAAGTCTGATTTTTTAAAATTTTTAATCTTTATTCATCAGTTATTGGGTTGTGTCAGTTTTATCCATTTGAGACTTGGATAAAGTGTTGCTTGGATTTATCCACATTAAATAGAATAGAAAGACATTATGAAAAAGCATCTGACATAGGCAAAGTGTCTGAAAAGTATGTTGGTAATTGGCAATTCTGTTGTTGATTTGATGTCTTCATTACTATGCTTATTGGTTTTATTTAAAATAACTAAATTTTCTCTCAATTTATTTTAATTGTCCAACACTTTTTTTCACTTTAAAATGTTTGAAACTCTGACAATACTTTGAAAACTGCATTTGTGGTAATACTAATAATATCCCACCAATATCTTTTTTATGCAGTTTAGTTTTAATTATACTGCATTTAAAGGTATTAGTGTGATATTATTACTAAAATCTTACAATTTTTACTGATTAATAAAAAAAATCAAAAGTTTATTCATAAATGTCTTTTCTTTTGTAATATTACTACTTTTGAAACTTTTATTTAAATGAATTTTTCACACATTTTAAACTACTAATTAAAGCTCAAAAACTAATTTTACTGCAGATACTTTATTGACAGAATTATAGGATTTTGTGCAATACAAGTTTGAACCACTAAAAAATGTCATTTTCTGGCTTAACTTTAAAGAGTAGTTTAATAAATACAAAATTCTATTTACAACGAATAACACCTAAACACAATTTCCAGCAAACAACTAAACAAAATTTTACTGGTCAAACGTTTTTGATCACTGTTTATCAGCCAAAATTCTATTTGCATACTGATTCTGTTTTCTGAAAATGTAGTATCTAGAATATTTATTATTGATGCCATGGAAATGACATTAGAATTCCAAAATTGATGTATTATAGTTGATAGAAAATTGCAAGTAACACAAATGTAATTTGATGATTGAGTACATTTTCAAACATAACACACAAACTTATATATTGTAATTAGTTATTCTGTATACATACTACAATGCAATGATTAGATGTATTAAACTTAATCATCATTTTATATTTTAATTAACTGATTCTTTTCTTAACAAAGATTCACAAAAATGCAGTTAGCAACCATTCAACCACCTTCAAAGAAACCAAAAATCTTACTGAGAAAGTACAGGTAACTCTTTTTATATATACAGTTAATTGGTTCCACAAGTCAGCCACATACATCAAATCATACATATTCGAGTAAACGGTGAAAGGGAAATAAATTAATTCATGAATTAGGTCATTTTTGTTCAGAATTGTCATTTTTATATTTATATTTACATGAGCAGAGTAAAAATACAGAAAATGAAAAGATTAAATAACCTTGTCTAAAATTTAAAAAAACCTTGTCTAAAATTTTTATTGAAGAATTATTTAATTAAAGTACAGTGTAGTTAGACACAATGAAAACAAATTATAGAAAATATGTTGCAATATATAAGTTGTTATGCAATGCAAAAGATAAGATAGATCAAAGCAGGGCCCCAGGAGTGTACAGTATTTTGGTAAGGGATGACAGATTCTGAAGAGAGTTAGTGTATATATTGGCTCAACTAAATGATCAATACGAAAAAGGGTATGTGAGCATCAATACAACATTAAAAACAACAGGCATACCACTGCCTGTTGTTTTTAATGTTGCAGGTCAGGCTGGTATGCCACTGTCATACCAGCCTGACCTGCAAGTGTATTAATTTTAAAGACTGCAATACGATATTGTATGCATAGAGGTACCTTTATGAAAAAGTCGGGCAAAGTTAGCCTGTATTAATTTACTCTGTACATCTTAAAAATGTGTGTGTGATAGGTTCATACATTTATGAATTTTAGTCGTTCTATCATTTGAATTCAATTTACATTATGGGTTATTCAAAATATAAAATTGTTGTTTTTGAATATTATCGTTCTAACATTCCAATCTGGAATCCATTAAAAAACCTGATGTAGGCCTTGGTGAAGGTCGAAAACGTTTAGAGTTTTTGTTAATATTTGTACTGGTAGTTAAAGGTTTTGTTTCATTTGATTACCTACAGTAATTTGGAAAGGAGATAGTTTTAATATTATGGAAAATAAGATTAAACATTGATTGATCATTGATCTTTTATACTACAATGATTAAAGTGTCAGAAAGGATTCATTTATATTGTGTGAATGCAAGAAGAAGCTGTTGTTATTTTTTTCATCATTTCATATGACTTTCATCAATGTATAACAACAATCAGCTGTTTTCATTTTCAAATAAATGCTTGTTTTGTGTTTAAAGACTTTTTGCACCAACAATTTTCAAAATGACAAGTGTAATTGAGCAAAGAACCCTACATTAAATTTTGTGTTTGTAACAGAATTACTGCTACAAAAACATTGGAAATGTTGCAAAAAGCATAACTATGTTTTTGGTAGACTGTCATCATCAAAGGATTTTTGTAACATTGATTTTGAGTTGTATGTAATGTTCAAGGAAGTTAGAGCATATATGAAAGATGAATTAAGTGAATGTTGTTCATCACTTGAAGTAGACCATCTACTTCAAGTGATGAACAACATGTCACTTGAGTCAGAGATTTGGTGTTCGATGATGGTCATTTAACTATTAGGGACATTATTGAATATGTTCCAGTATCATTTTGATCTTGTCAAGCAATTTTTAAGATTATTTGGGTTTGCAGTGTGTCATTTCTCAAGTTGTCCTGATAGCATTGAATTTTTTCCAAAAATAACATGTTTGAGTGACCAAGAAAATACTTTAAGGTTAATCATTCTTAAAACACATTATTACAGTGATGAAAAATGGATCTACACTTTTGACACCAAAACAGCTCAACAATTGAGTGAATGGCAAGGATGGAGAGTTGGGGTCGAGGAGTCAACTCTATTTATGAGAGTTGAAAAATTTATTGATTCCTAACTCCTTACATCACATTGGCATTTAAAAAATTTAAGTATCTTTTTAAAAATCCATTAATGATGTTACTTTTTACTTTTTTAATAATACAAAATGTGGCCCATGTTGTTACTGCACTTCTTTCTATCCAATTTAGTGTTGAACAATTATTCTCAACTCAGTCATGTTTAATTCAATATCACTTGTGTGCTAACTTCAAAGAGGACATAATGAAGGCTAGTCTTGTTTTGAGAACAAATTATTCTTAATTAAATTTTATTCAATCTTTTTAGAGTTAAATTTTTTACCTCAGTATTAATATCACTATGTAGAGTATTAAATATTGATGTATTACAGTAGAACCTCGATTATCCGGACTAATTGGGGATTAAGGTAGTCCGGATACGGAAAAATCCGGATAATCGAAATAAATACTTTAATTTGTCTTTTAATGATAATACAACACGTTTTCTTTTCGATGACATGTCGGTAATATTATAAGTGAATACTGTATTTAAATCGTAATCAAATTTTCAAGAAACAAAACGTTCGTATTGAATTTGGACTACTACTGACCAACGCTAACAAACTACCTATTGTTTAAAAGGCCCTCTGGTGGCGCAAGAAGACTGATTTTATAAATTAAAAAGCAGTTGAAACTGCATTTTTATGAATAAAAATTTGACAAACTATTTATCGTTTTATGACGAGTAAAATTTTTTCGTCGCGTTCGCGGCTTTTAAGTAATGCGTAAACCTTCGAGGCGCGAGGCCCTTCGGACCGCCAGGCATAGGCGGTGGCCCACTTCGTCCATGCCTTACGTTACCCTTGGTCATAGAAATGATGTAATTTGAATATAAATTATTTATAAATACATATGTCAAGTTATATTTTTATTACTACGTAAAATATATTTAAGAGTTTACGACCACTGTGCTGGGTAAAACGTTGTTGAAACAAAAAAAGTTATGCATTCCATCACGTACATAAACAATGTCATAATTCGCCAAGTACGAATCAGCAAATTCGTAAAATTTTTGTTTATTTTGAACAATCCGGATAATCGAAAATCCGGATAATGGAGATCCGGATAATGGAGGTTCTACTGTACTATGTAGAGTATTACTTTGTAGAGTATTAATATTGATGTAAATAAAATAATAAAAATTTAGTAGTCCTTCAATTTTTTATGAGAGCAAAAATCAGTGTTAGATATGTATTATACATATGCAATGCCAAAAAGGTCCAAAATTGAAGAGTGTTTTTAAGTTAATGTTTAAAAT